TATACAGCTTTATTGTTTTTTTGCGGTTTGCACTTGTTTCAAGTTTCGTGTATTAAATGGTTCAATGAGGTGATATATACGCTCATGTCCATAAATTAAGGATAATGAGGCACAGAAAGAGACAGAAGCCAAACAAATTTGACTTATTTGTAAAGTCTATGCATTAAACAAAAAGTAAAGAGCAAAAAAGATGCTATATGTTTCACATAATTAATAAAAATTGCGATTTTTACTCCCTGGAGCAAATTTTAAAAAGGAACCTATTTACAAAAAACAGTATAACATGGTTAGTATGAAGGTTAATACGGAGTATGTCTCCCGGACGATACAATACAGGCCGTACAACGCCTAGGCATGCTGAGTATCAAATTATCAATCTGATCTTGGGGAATATTACACCACTCATCAAGCAAAGCCCTCCGAAAGTCCTGTAGACACGTGGGAGGGGGTTGACGGGCTGCCATTCGTCGGCCAAGCATATCCCACACATGTTCTATTGAATTCAAGTCCGGTGAGTACGCTGGCCAATCCACACGGGTGATATCCTCCGATTGAAGGCATTCGTCTACAATGTTTGCACGGTGAGGACGGGCGTTGTCGTCCATAAACAGAAATTTAACACCCATGGCACCCCGAAACAAACGTACATGTTGTTCCAGAATGACATCCCTATAGATGTGGCCTGTCATCGTTACACTCTGAGCATGCAGGTCAGCTCTGGAACCAAGAATAATTCCTCCCCAAACGAGCCATCACCGTAAAGGTGTCGTTCAATTTTGTTGTCTTGGTGGTAACGGGTACCTGGCGCTCTCCATATGAAAGTCAGGCGAGAATCAGACTGCAAACTAAACCTGGACTCGTCGGAAAACATCACACAAGACCACTGTTGTGGTGTCCACAATGCATGCTCTCTACTCCAGGCTAATCGCAGGCGACAGTGAATTGCGGTAAGTGGAACACATCTGACAGGCCTACGAGCATATAGAGCAATGTACCCCAAGCGTCTGTACACGGTCTGCCTTGAAACTGTCTTACTGGTAGCTGAAGAGAGCTGACGAGACAGGTCTGATGCTGTGCTCTGTCTGTTTCTTTTGGCAGTAACTGCCAAATACCGGTCTTCATTCGGCGTTGTAACTCGGGGGCGACCTGTGCTGTAACGTCTACTCACATTACCATCATCTTGGAATCGTTGCCAAAGCCTGGAGATGACACTCAGGGTGATTCCAAGCTCCTCGGATACTTCCAGCTGAGTACGTCCACATTCCAGTCGTCCGAAGATTCCGCCACGTAAAAAATCATCCAAATGCTTCCTTTGTGCCATAACTATGCGGTTATTGCACTGAAAGGCTTTTAAATCACTTGTGAACAATTTTACTTCGTTACCACCATTCCTTACACTCTCGTCATTGTGACGTACTACCAGCGTCATCTAGTGGTTTCCTGTAATGTGCATATTCTTCTTCAGGATGTGTGTGATAATTCTACAGGTGAAATTTTAATTTTAGAGTTTGATTTCAGTGTGATTCTGAATTATCCTTAATTTATGGACATGAGTGTAATAAAATTCGACTGTTGAATAAATGAGACGATCTATTATATAAATTTAGACTATTTATTATATCAGGTATTATGTAAGTATATTATAATAATGATGAGACGCATTGTATTGTTTTAATAATGACATGTTTTGCACGAGTTTATAGGCCATACTTTTATGTTTAAACACACATGTAATAGGTCTTTATTCAGGAGATATTTCAGATACTTTCTATTTGTATTTATTATTAACGTATTGTATTGCAATGTTAACCCATTAATACACGAACGTAAACAAGTACAAACTGCGTAAAAACAATAAAGCTGTATAGAGTATCACGTGATAATTAAGATTTTACATAGAATCTTAGAGCGCGTCTCATCATTTGGCCAAGGACTGTATAATTCAAAAATTTAAAACATTCCATTCAATGATCTTTCCGAAACAGTTGATGACAGAAGTATATTATGTACATATTCTGGGTATAATGTGGTTTTCTTCTTGAAGTGTAAGTACCCCATTGTGAAAAAATCCCATACATTTGAAACTTATGATGTGAGCATTTGATTTAAAAAGTGAAAACACATAAAAATGGGTGACATTCATTTATTATTATGGAAACATACATAATGTGAAGAAAAATTTGAAAAAAATTGTTTCCTTTGTTTCAGACGTACACGAGTAGGAAGTTTGAAGAAAAAAGAACACTATCATTTCAGATAAAACTTTACTCGTAAAGCAATTATTTCATATTGTAATGAGGTAGAGAAAAATTATATAAAGAATACAGAATTTAAGCTAGAAACTATGGTTTAAATAATCATGACTGGGAGGACTCTTATTTTCTTGAAATGAAGAGTAACAACTAAAATAATGGATAAGTTTTAGGCTACAGAGATTTTTTTTTTCCTTTACGAATTGCACAGGTGATAATGATGCGCCTATTTGTTAATAACAGTGAAAAGATGTATTGCATAGTTCAAACAATGTTACGATTTCAATGACTACTATAATTATCCTAATTGAGTCACTCTATTTGGGTGCTTTTGTACAGCTTTTTAACTATCGCTCCAATGAAAAGCGTCAGATCCACTTCAGAGAACTATACCAACCCCACGACTTCTGGCTATTTCCAAATTCTGTTCCATCTCTCTATTGGCTAATTGCCTACTACTTGCCATAGTTTGTCTACATTTTAATATTTTCAGTATTTGAAACCTTAGTTTACCTGAACTCTTTTTGATGTAAAACAGAATCTGCACTGAATCATTTCTCCCACGGTACAGCGTCTTCTTAAGGAATGCACTACAGATTGCGTATAACTGACTAACCAGTTAGCGTGAGAACATTTAAAGTGAATGCAAAATCGTCCTGAGATGAATTTTAATGGCAGCAGGTGAAATACGACATCGAATGTTTATTCTACTAGAATAAACGGTTGTGGACGTGAAGTGTGCTTATCAGACCCAATCTCTCATGTGATGAGATGTTTAAAGGTAATCAAAGAGTTGCGACGCCCTCACATGTGTGCAAGCACTTTGTGAGGCAAGGGTACGGGTACACAACCACTTGCTCTGTTCTTCTGGTTGTATTTTTCTTAGCACGACTTAACATTCACTTCATGTGAACTAATTATAAGCATTCTCCGAAATTTTCATTTTCATTTTAACCTTAAAAAGTACTATCGTTACTGTATTTCAACGTTTCATGTGGCCATACCTTATAGAGACCATTATGGTGAAGTTGGGCTTAAACAGTGCCCTCTTTAAAAATGTGCAGTTTTAAGTTTCAAAGCAATTTATTTTTGTTAAATAGCTTTGATTTTTTATAGGTTTCAAAGGTCATCTAAACTAGGAAGTAGATTTCACCCATGCTAAGATATACATAAATATAGTTAGTTGATCTGTCCTACATGAAGGAAGAACAATATCAATTTTAGTTCAGATTAGCACCTCTAGCAAAAATATTTGATAAGCATTTAAATAAGGAGAAGAAAAAAAATCAAACATAAACTATATAAAGTTATTTAAGAAATGGATGAAGAATTATCTAATTGACCTAAAAGTAAGAGGGCTCATTGCAGAAAACTACCAGGTTATTTAGAAAATGAAGAAGATTTTTGGCTCTTTGCAAAATGCTTTAAAAAGTGTCTTTTTCAATAAATCAGTGATATTTCATATTACTAAGTTTTTGTAATCATTTTCCGTAAATCGGTAACTCTGGAAGAAGTGATTAGGCTCAACACCTTTGAGATTTAAATCACATGGTGAGAGGATGATGCACGAGGAAGAGTCGCCTCTTTCTCCTTCTTTTAAAAGAAAGAAAAAGTAACTTCAGGAAAACCTTCATGAAGTTCTTCAAAATATTAAAATGCAAACAAAATATTAGAAGTCTGTTGCGTTATTCCAAATTATCCTCTCATCATTTATTTTCATTTGTATATTTTACTTTTTAGCCTTTGAAACTTCATGGTTTGTCTAAACTCTCTTTTCTCTACACTTTAAAATGAATGGAGAATTGACAACGTTCTTCCTCAGTATGGCGACCTCTGAATACAAATTGATGATTCCCGATCTTTGATTGCTGTAGTAGAATTTTTTTTCTTCTTCTTTTAAGTATAAACTTAAGTCATTTTTTATGAGTAGGTTAAAACTGCAGATACACCTTTTTTTTTCATCTATAAATGACATCTTTCAATTTTATTTGAATTTACAGGAAAAAATTTATTTTTTTTAAAAAAATTAACCGCTTCCCTTACTGTCCCGAGTTAACTCGGGTATGTATGCATTGCAAATATCTATTATCCCGGAAAAACTCGGGCGTAGCAGAATGTGTCACGTTTTGACTCGGCCATAAGCAAAAAAATAAAATTATTCGCTGTTGGATTGTGGGAATGCACTCGTGGTTCGTGCATATACGATTTTTGCAGAATTTGCATAGGAAAGAGTCATAAAATAGCGTATCAGAGGCGTTTGGAAAGTATCACTTTGTATGATTCCTTACTTTAAAAACTAATATTTTAATGTTTTTTTCATTTGACCGAGATAACTCTGGATAGTGGTCAATTACATGTTTTTTCCACATAAAAAAACATTTCAAATTAAAACTTGGGTATTATGTTTTATTTTAGTTCCTTGTATTTATTACTTAAATAAAAAATAGGTTGATTTTTTGCATTTTTTTTCCTTAAAAAAATTGGAAAAGAAGCGGTTGAACTGAGAAAAAAAATATTTTTTAGAGTTAAAAAAAAAGACCTATAAAAAAAATACTAATGGTGTCTTTGCAGTTCACAATAGATCACCTAGTAAACTAAATGAAACTTTCAATAATGATGGGTAAAATTAAATATACTTTTTTTCACAGTCACACGACAGCAACTTTTAAGTGAATTTTGTATTAATAAAAACAAACATCTATGCAATAAATAAATATCTGTATAAAATGAAAATGAGTGAAACAAAAATTATTTACAAAATGGTGTTTAAAGAAAATAAAATGTAACATAAATAATTTATGATGTAAAAATAATCACTTAATGTTGGATGCAAATATCACAGCAAATCATTTATCTTTGAAATAACATAAAAATCTAAGAAAATAGTGTTGAAAATGCATATTGTTTTTCTCCCACACCGAGAGTTGTTGCTTTCTGTATTGTACTTGAAGAGGACAGCAAAAGGACACCGTTTTTAAATAATGCCAGACTGACATTGAAATACTACCGCATCTTACATAACTACTACTACTACTTGTAAGTGATGGCCACTTAGCGGGAAATGATGAACTGCACAAAGTTCTGCATAAGCTGACAACCTAAAAAATAAAGTATACGATTAATTATTTGTGGGGTTAAAACATTATTTCGATCGACTTACACTAAGCTTGCAATTAAAATATTATTTACCATAGTAAAAACAAGCACATCATAATGAGATTTCATAAAAAGGAACAGGGTGCGTAGCCTTATCACTCAATAAAAATAAGCACCTTTTAAGTACTTTTTAATCACTCAAAAAATATTTTCAAGCGCTATATACATTAACAAAAAATGCAAAATAATTTTCAAAGACTTTGTAGGACCACGATAAAAATAACTAGTTTCTGACAAAGAACTCTTTTTCTTGATTGTCTTGGCCATTACAAAATGATAGATATATTTTTCTCTTCGATATCATAGGATGAAAAATGAAGCCTGAAATGGAGAATATTTTGCAAAATTCAGCAGAGTTGCACACGAGAGTGCAAGAATCTCACCAAACGCGGAAACCCAAGTATTTCATCAAGCATGATGGATGCTATCATACGTTACGGACCGCCGAAATGGATTGTGGTTGAATGAATTGTGAAAACGTTTAATAGAACAATACGAAAACCATGGCAACGAAAATCGACATGGCAAAGAAAAAAGATCTCATTTTCGAAAAGGGAAGCATTTTTTAAAAACACCTCATGAAAAAAGTACCTTAAAGGGTTTTTTAAAAATCGAAAATAAGCACTTTTTAAAAACGCTACGCACCGTGTGAAGAACTTAGTTTTTCTCCGTTATAGAAACCATGAAGCGAAGAGGATTTCTCAGATCACGGGCAACCCAGAGCCCAAATGGTGTTCCGCGGAACATCAGGGTTCCGTGAATTTGTGCTTTTTATAACCAGAGTTCTGATTATATTTAGATCCAACCTATAATTGAAAATTTATTGAATATTACGGTTTCCTTTATGAAACTAATTGATACCAATAAAATAGGTATTTTTTTGAAGGAAAATATAATATTTCTAATAACACTCTATTGAACAAATTATGAAAAAATATAAACATTTATATGAAAAAAAATAAGTATTTAGAATTATACATTAGTATTTCCTATCGCGTTTTTCTAATCAAAATAAGTGATATAAAGAAATTTATTTCCGTGATTTTCAACGTTTATAGCAGTTCTTTTAAGAACCATCATTAGGCTTATTTTAAAAATTTTCAATTTCACCAGAATAACTATACTAGATCTAGTTCTGCAACTGTCGGACATAATTTAAGATGATAAAACGTTCCTCTAATTCAGTGTTTCTTAACCTTTTTGGTATAATGGACCCCTTTTAAAATTTTTTAAGAAGTCGCGGACCACCCCCTGTGAAACAAATTATTGCAAAAAACATCAATTATTAGAAAACATTTAATTTTATTATTTTAATAGTACACAAAATTTTTAAAATTTAAATTTTTAATGTGAAGGTTGCTGCTGCTTTTCCTTAATTAATAAATTGGATTGGGGGATGGCATTCGACAAAGCAACGCGCATAATATAATGTTCAACATTCAATCGATTTCGATGTTTTGATTTTATTGTCACAAGTGTGGAAAATCCCGTTTCGGAAAGATTCACTGTAGCAAACGGAATTATAGCTGCCATAGCTCGCTTTACAAGCAATGGGTAGGCTTCCAAACATTTTAAAAATTAGGAGTAGTCTGCAGACCCCTAAAATATGTCTCATGGACCCCTTAGGGGTCCATGAACCACAGGTTAAGAAACCCTGCTCTAATTGAATATATTCTTATAACGTTCACAATTATTTATTAAGTTTTAGCCGAGAGAATGTTGTTTACGTAGAATTCCATGGCCTAAAAGTTTGGGAACCGTTGATCTAGAGTGAAGTATCGCCATTACGCATCGAATGTCGTTATTAATAACTATTACCGCACTATTATCAATACATATGAAGGAGATACTATGGCGAATTGTATACATAAGGAAAATCATATTGAATACGATTAGTATTGTGTGAGTTGATACATTTTATTCGGGTTAGTTAAATTGGATAAATATCGTTCGTGTTGACATCGCGACGTTAATCGATCGCGTTATCATCAAAGTTGTTAAAAGTCCATACTAATCTATGACAAAAGAACCCCATGCTAGTGTTGGCGACCACTCAGAAAAGCAGTCGCCAAGATTAGGTACCTACAGTCATTTATTTAAAACTGTATTTGATATACATCGTTTTAGAAATTGAATAAAAATTTAAAATTATTTGAATGATTGCTTTCATTATAATTATTTAAATAAATTTATTTGATTTTATTGAAATTCTGAATTGTTCGAAACAATCACTTTTCTTCCGAAAAGTGAATATTTCAAATGATTCCCAATTATCAAAATGGAATAAATAAATAAAAAAAGTTTCAATGTACAATTCGATTAATACAGAACATGTATCATGAAAACATTCTGGAGTTGTTCGATTCACCTGTCTGATGAGTTATGTGTGTACTTCAAATGATTAGCATTATCGAATAACTATCCCCAATAGCAAAATAAGGTCAGAAAAAAACATTTTCATGTAAAAGCCTCGAAAGGTTTGTAATCACGGGTAAGCCACCTTAAAACGAGATCTGCGACCCTCATCCAAAAACTCGGAAAAACAACCTTCTCTAGACTTTCAAGCGTGAAAACATCCTTTCATAGAAAAGCTAGTCTAAAGGTGAAAATAATCTTAACTCTATGTCATTCGCAAAGTCTTGTTATGCTCAGCTAAAATACACCTTGTCTTGAAATTATGATGGACAATATGCAATTATGGATCCTATCGCTAGCGTGACCTCAGCTAAAACGTCATGATGGACCTAAGTGACCACTACTTTTTTAAAAAATATTTTTTAATCCTTTTCGGATGAAAGGTTTAGTAACTGCTTTATTTGAAAAAAGGTTTTTAGTGCAATCATTTTCGTGACAAAAGAAGAAAATTGGAACATGAGGTTGCCGTTAAGATGCTTTAACTATTATTTAATAATAAATAGTTTCAGAGTCCATACATTACTGTGTAGATGAGTAAATCATTAGATCACTGAATTATCAATACATTATTGAAAACCACATTAAAGTGGGCAACTGATTGATGACAAAAATCCGAGACATAAAAGTACTTTTGTGGAACCTCCAAGTTTCAAATTTTTGACCATCAGAAAGAAAATGGAATTAAATTAATTTAACATTGGAAACCTTCTCATTTTTAATTTTTGCGTTTTGGACTCTGTTTTTAGAAACAATTGTAGTCATTGCCACCACGTTCTCAATGTTCAAAAGTCGTCAGAAGACTTAGAAGAAAGAGGAATTAAAAAGAAAAAATGAACATTCGATTCGAGGACCATTAAACCCGTGTGAAAAAATACTGCCACAACAATAAAGAATGCAAGTTTAAAAAAATGAACGCGCAGAACGGGACAAATATGTTTATAAACTTATCGCAAAGTTTTTTTTTTAATCATTTATATAAATTCCAGCATGTTCAAAAATTATTGCAATTTTAAATGCTTTTTTGAGAATTTTTTCAAAAATTGTTTTTGCTGTACATTGCCTTACTGCACAAAATCTGTAAGATGTGTAGCGCATCTAAAGGTCGAAGTTGTGTAGAAAAATAGACAAGGAGGTCAATGGAATAAAAAATAAAAAAATTCCATTCGATTATTAGTTCGAGAATTATGAGCTGTTAAACTTGCAATAAAAGAAAACCGTGTGGGTTGATCAACTGCAATGACAGAATTGCAATTTGATGAGCTCATAAGAATTTTGAATTATAAGTTTAGCGAGAATTTTTTTCCCACTGAAATTACTATTTATTTCAACAGTCACTGCTATTTTAAGTGGGTTTTTCTTATTTTGCATTTTTCCTCGTTAAATAATAATTATTTATTAATTGTTGAAAAAAAAATGTATCTATACCGCTATTTTTGGTTTATAAATAAAAAATTGAGAGAGAGGTTGCCATTTGGAACATTTCTATTGAAATGTTTTAAAAATATAAATATTGACGAGAGATATACAATGAAATTTCTTTTAAAGCTGAGAAGGGGGCGAGTCTATATTTTAAGAATCCTTGTCAATACTAACAAGTAAGAGACACGTTAGGAGTTCAACGCTATCAAAAACTGGCGAATCATTTTTGAGAAAAGGTGGGATTAAAAGAATCCATGAAACAGATTATAACCCTTTCCGGACATTTTTTGATAGTCTTCGACAAGTAAGAGCGGTGGATACCGTAGTTACACAAATTTCAGCCAGACCTAATTCTTAAAAATGAAGTACCTAAAACTGTGTTGTTGAATGGCTTCATAATATTCTGGAATGGATATTTTAAATACAATTTCTTTATTTCAAAATAGGAATAAAGTCACACAATACCTTTGGTATTTCGTAAGCACAAAAATAATTCTTTTCTTTAAATAAAGGCGCGGCATTAAAGACCCGATTTCTTTCTTTTTTTTTAAAAAATAGTTTTAATTCTACTTACCCTAAAATCTTCAAAATCTCGAATAATCTAATTGGCTTTTTTTGTTTGTTTAAAATCTTATAGACTATACAGTTCCTGGAAAAATGATGAGACTTCACTCTAAGATTCTATGTAAAATCTTAATGATACTCTATACAGCTTTATTGTTTTGCATTTGGTAACGCTCGTCTAATCAATGGGTTAATAGTGTGATGCAATACGTTATAAATAAATACAAATAATAAGTATACGAATCTCTCGAATAAAAACCCATTCTATGCATGTTTAAATAAAAAGTATTGCCTATAAACTTATACAGAGACATGTCATTCCTTAAAACACTACAATACCTCTCATAATCGGGTCAAATAATATACTCATCTGATGTAATAAATAGTCTCTAATTATACAATACATTGTCTCGTGTATCCAATTGTCGAATTTATATGATATATCGTCTCATTTAACTCATTGATAGACGAACGTAAACAAGGTTTGATCAGCGTGAAAAGAATAAAACTGTATCATCTGTTAATTCATATTTTACATAGAATC